AAGTCCAAAAATCTCACCATATACAACCTTGAAGCAAGACAGGCCCACAGTATTCCTTTTCCTGTCTCTTGCTTTCATTCACCACCCCCTTGTTCTTGAACAACCATCTACCCAAGAGACATCATAGCAGCAACTTGCATGTCATGACAAGGAGCCCAAATTCAGAAGATCAGAATGACAGGCACTCCAAGCATGAAATTACTATTACAAATTACCATCTGCAGTCCAGTAGCTTAGTTCACAGGTATCAGTATATATAGTTAGTCAGGGTGAGAATCTTTCCAATTAACTGCCAACACTGGCTTTTAAAGAAATTTTCAACTTAGTACCAATGTCCAAAATAATATGTTGCTCTCTTAGAGGACTTAAAAATTAGATTTGACAGATGTACAACAAAAGATTAAATCTAACATTGATTTTTGATATTGGTTAAGTCCTAGATATTGGATACTTACAAAAAATGAAAAATCTGCCAGCCAGATTCTGTAGCAGGGAAGCCAAGGGTCTGCTAACGGTGTAGATACCAAGAACACCAGCCTTGACTAAAAGATTTTTTCTGTTGACAAGAACAGTTGTACTTTTTATGGTGAACAGTGTATTGTTTTGATACATTTATTTGACAGATATACAACAAAAGACTAAATCTAACATTGATTTTTGATGTTGATTAAGTCCTAGATATTAGATACTTACAAAAAATGAAAATTTTGTAAGTATTGTGAATTAATCAACTCATAGTGCTTATATTCTTTATCTCTCAGATATTTCTCATTTCTTTGTAATAAGAGTATTCAAACCATCATTTCTAGTTATCTTTTATTCATTTTAATGAGAAAAAGGTAAAATAGCAATGAAAGAGTTTCAAAACAGGTTAGTAGGACAGTTATAATAATTACTATATTGCATATTGTTGTCTTTGTAGTAATTCATAGTACAAGATGCAGACATGCTATCTTGTATAAACAATATTAGTACAAACCTTAACAATGAACTAAGAGAAAGTAGCTGTATATCTATCCTAACTATCTTGTGTATACATACATATTTTTTTCACAACAAAATGGTCTTTTATTTATACTTTTGCAAAGATAAAATATTAACTATAATCAAGTTTGAATATTGAACTTATTCCCCATTTCTCTCCTTATCTAAAGTCTGTTTGTTCTCCTAGATTTATGACCCCAACAACAATCGTTATGAAGTGCCAATCCCTTTGAACTTACCCAGCATTCCATCCAGCACCTCAGAGAGCCGGCTGTATGATGTCCTTATTACGAAGAATCCATTTGGTATTGTGATTCGCCGGAAGAGTACAGGCACTGTAATGTAAGCATTTTCTAGTTTGAAGTGCATTTTCTGGTTACTTATATGTTGCTTGTGGATACTTTGGCTTGGAGTCCATGGAGCTACTCTGGCTCAAATCATGACACTGTCCATTTCTGTATCCATGAATAAGTTATTTGCTTCAGGTCTGTTCTAATCAGAAATCTTTTGGATTGTGTCAGTTATTGGTGAGGCATTTACATGTTCTTGTGAATGCAATACATATGCCTTTAATAATCTCAGATAGAGTACTTCATAAATGCATGGGTCATGAAGCAGGAGAAAACTTGGCATAGAAGAGCAGTGTAGTATTTGAAAAAGGGCATTGGAGAGATGAAGTTAGGATGTTAGGTGGCCTCGGATCATGTGCAGCCCTGATGTCTTTATATATTGTTTTCATGAGGAACCCTTGAAGAATGTCAGCAGGAGTGATGTGATGTGAGGTGCTTGGCATGCATGAGGGCAGTGGGATACTAAGGAGCAAGTGGGGGAGGCAGGTCTGGCCTGGAAAGTGGCCAATGAATTGGTGGGAAGTGACTGGGTTGGTTCTGTGGAAGGCACAGAGAAAGGAGCAGTGACATAGAACATTAACAGAATAAAGGCTGACTCCTGGGCTTGTAGCAAGGACATCTGTGATTATTTTAAGCAAATATGTATATTTTGTATTTTGGTGGGGGGGAGATGAATGGGGTCTGGGGGTAGGAGGGAATCAACAGTTCTGCTGTTTGTAGAAAGTCAGGTCCTTGAAGCCAAAAAGAAAGCTGAAGTTCTTCCCAACCCACCTTTTCTCCTCACAGCTGGGACTCACAGGTTCTGGGCTTCACCTTCAATGACATGTTCCTCCGCATCTCCACCCGCCTGCCCTCCTCCTACATCTATGGCTTTGGGGAAACGGAACACACAGCCTTCAGGAGAGACCTGAACTGGCACACGTGGGGCATGTTTTCCCGAGACCAGCCCCCGGGGGTAAGCACAGGACCAGTGGAATCTATGTGCTTTTGTTTGTGTCTAGATGTCCCCCAAAGCCTCATGCAGTTACAGAGGGGGGGCAGGCTTTTCAGCACAGGCTTACTCTAGAGTTTGTAGTCTGCTGCTGGGATTAGAATGTATCCAACCTAGGGCAGGTAGGCTTCATACAGTATGTGGGACAGAAAAAGTCTTGTTTTTCCCCTGCTTGTTTGCTTTTCCTGTCTTCTGCCACCAGACTGTTGCCCCTCTGCCATGTGCCACCCTGCCTTAGAGTTGCCAATTATGGACTGAAACCTCTATGAATTGTGAGCTAAATAAATCTTTCCTACCTTGACTTTTGGCATTGGATATTTTGTCTCAGGAGAAAAGTAACTGAGACATTGTGTTTCTGCCTTTGTTTACCTACACAGTGTGTACTTTGTGTTTTATCTTCCCCATTTCAACATGGCTCCTCACACGGTGCTCTTAGACAAGTGGACCTGTTTGTAGGCACCTTTCTTTCTTCTGTGTTCAACTTATTTCTCAGATAGCAAAACACTCATGTCAGCAAAAAGTCTCCATTGAGTTTCTTTGTCAGGCATCATGTCTTCTAACTCTATACCTTTTCTTTCCCTACCTTTTCTTTCCCATGTATCTCAGTTCAAGATGAATTCCTACGGTGTCCACCCCTACTACATGGGACTGGAGGAGGATGGCAGTGCCCACAGCGTGCTGCTGCTGAACAGCAATGCCATGGGTAGGTGGTGCCAGTGGTTTCTTTTTATTGTAATATGTTTGTAGTGCACAATCGGAGAATTGCTGCATGTGATGTACAGGACACATCTCCTTCCCTTTTCCTTTCCCATCCTTCCATCTCTTGAGCCCCTTTACATATGCATAGTTTTTGTACATGTTTGTAGTACGTATTGATCCCTTTGTCTTTGAGACTCAATACATATATGCAGCACACCACTTGCAACACCCCTTTTCAATCCTACCCACCCAAATCTCTTGGCTCCTTTCACATGCGCTAAAGATCTACCTGACTAAGGGCCAGAGAAATGGCTCAGTGGACTAAGCACCTGCTTAGGCAAGCTCAGGGACCAGGGCTCGATCCCCAGTACTACATGCTGCACCAGCCCCACTCTCAGGCATGCTGAACCAGTGCCCGAGTCTGGGTGTGGTTGCACATGCCTATAATCCCAGCACTGGCAAGGCTGAAAACAGGAGGATCACTATGAGTCCAAGCTACATAGTGAGACCCTGTACCAAATAAGAAAAAAAAAAAAAAAAAAAAAAAAAAGATCTACCTGGCTATATTCTATGGTTTTTAGAATATATGTAACCCAGCTTCACCCTTAGATTGTATATTCATCTTATGGGAGGTGTTTTTTGGATTCTTTTTTCTTTTTTCTTTCTTGTTTTTGGTACCAGGGATTGAAGTCAGGACTTTGTGTTTGCCAGGCACTTATGCTGCTGAGCTATCTCCCCAGCCTAGGAAGATTTTGTGTTTATTATTTTCTTTATTTCAGTCCAGGGTTGTGCAATAATACAATAAATGAACTCTCATTTTGGCAAAAATCACATAGCAAAGAACGCAGAACCAAGTGAGTTGCCCGTATCCTGCAGTTCATCTAATGGGAGCAGCTATATAACTTGAATCAATACTGAACATATATAGTGTGGATCAGAGTACTCACCCCAGGAACAGGAGAGTGTGAATAAAACTTGTGTGACATATGAATGAAGGAAACATGAGGGGGTATGTAGGAATCATGTAGTAAGATGCGGTGAACTGTGCATTCATTCCATACCTCAGTAAGAGTATTTTATTACTGTTGGTCTCCTACTTTGACAGTGTACCTTTGTTCAATAAAATGCTATCATTGAGTAAAGCTCTGTGATGTGTATACAGAGGCTCTTAGGAACATTTCTGCAACTTCTTGTGCATCTTCAATTCTTCTTATTGAAAAAAGTTTTCTTATGTAAAAGTTATAATAATTTAAAGAACTAGAATGAGAAAATCTATAATAAGATAATAAGGCCCACCAAAGAGGAAATTACCAGGGATGAGTCCTTTAGACAAGCACTTCTGGAATTCTTTTGGGGAAAGTGCAGAACATCTGCCCTTGATATTCTAATGTGGAAAAGAGAGGCACTATGTTCATCGAGGCTAATACCTCCTGTGAAGGTTTCCACCATTATGGGCATCTTCCTGTCTTTTCAGATGTCACGTTCCAGCCTATGCCTGCTCTCACGTACCGCACCACGGGGGGAATTCTGGACTTCTATGTGTTCTTGGGCCCGACTCCAGAACTTGTCACTCAGCAGTACACTGAGGTAGGAGGGACTGCATTTGCTCATCAAGTATGTATTAGAAATGAAAGCACAGATCTGTGCTTCACTTTGCGCAAGATCACAGAGTTGGCACACATGGAGCCTGTGCCAATACACACATTTTTTTCCCTCTGAGTTCTGTGCTCCTAACCATAGACTCACTCTAGGAATCAGAGTAAAATCAAGCATTTCCCAGTTTCTAGACTACAAGCTCTAGTTCAGTGGATTTCTCAAAGGTATTCCAGTAACTCTTCATCTCCTTAGCTTATCTATGTATTTATATTTATTGAGTGTCTATCTTGTGGCACTGAAGAACTATCTTTATTACTGCATGTACGGCTTAAATCTGACTTCTCCCACAAGGACTAGTGTTTTGTGTATTTCCTAGGTGATCGGTCGGCCTGTGATGGTACCTTACTGGTCCCTGGGGTTCCAGCTGTGTCGCTATGGATATGAGAATGACTCTGAGATCGCCAGCCTGTATGATGACATGGTGGCCGCCAGAATCCCCTATGTACGTAAAGGACACTGTGCATTAGCTCTGTGACCTTGTGGCTAACTCATTCATCTCTGTATCTGTTTGTTTGTGGACTTTGTGAAGTGGTACATAGACACAGAGTTCTTTCTCACATAATGCCACATGATGCCTCAGCCTGGCACTGTAATACAGTGAAAACACTTGGGGAAAGTGACCAAAATCATTTTTTATATTAACAATTTTCAAAACCACTTTCAATGCAGAGTTTTTATTGATCCTCACAACAGCCTTCACAAAGGTATCATTGTGCTATGTTTTACTCATTGTTTCTATGCTGACTTAACATTTGAAAAAGTGACGTAAACTTCAGGGACCACACACCAAACAAATGATGGAGCTAGGATTTGAAAGAGCCACAGAGAAACCTTCGACCTTCACCACTAGCATTGGATAGTTGCTCCCTTCTGGAACTGGATTGTACCCCCTCAGCTCCTCAGTTTCCCTGTGTCCTTTCCCAGGACGTGCAGTACTCAGACATTGACTACATGGAGCGGCAGCTGGACTTCACCCTCAGCCCCAAGTTCTCTGGGTTTCCAGCCCTGATCGATCGCATGAAGGCCGACGGGATGCGGGTCATCCTCATTCTGGTCAGTCCTTGTGTGAATGTGGCTTGTTACTTGGGCACTGGCTGGGCTTAGGTGAAGAATTCATTACATTGCATTTGCTTTCATGTTCTAAGAAGAGAATGCACAAGGAGAATTGTGTTTCCTAGACTCATGGATGCACTACAGTTCAGAGGGAAGCTAGGAGCACCTGTCTCAAAATTTTCCCTTTTTCATACCCCCTTGTCACTCCCTGGCTGTGGTTTTCCCATGTGACCTGTGCTTGGCTTTCAGGACCCAGCCATTTCTGGCAATGAGACCCAACCCTACCCTGCCTTCACTCATGGTGTGGATAATGACGTGTTCATCAAGTATCCCAACGATGGAGGCATTGTCTGGGGAAAGGTATGAGCAAGGGCTGATCCATCAATCTCAAGCCTGGGATCTTAGGCATGTTAATGGGTTTGTACATATTGCTTCCTGGTCCTTTACATTTGAGGTCTGAGGTCCATACTTTGCAGGTTTGAATACACCTTAGTTGATACAGTTAAGAATTTTGTAGAATCTACTTGACTGTAGTTCAAACATACAAGATAATGGAAGTATTAGTAACCCTTGGACAATAGTTTCTGTTTTCTTGGAAAATATCACACATGTTAAATTTCATGGTGCATTGCTATGGAACATTTGTCTCTCCACAGGTCTGGCCTGATTTCCCTGATATTGTCATTGACCCCTCGCTAAACTGGGAGGACCAAGTGGAGGTAAGAGACCCATTGTGGATGTTGGCTGAGGGGTTTCCTGGAGGAAGGAGTCATTTCCAGGTTGCTGGGAATCCCTGCCATGGACATGGGTGTGGCAAGGGAGAAACACTTAGGAATAATGTTCAGTGCATCTGTCTATGAGCAGATTACCTACCACACAGTAATGTTCTTTTTCCAGTGGCAATGAAGAGAATTTGCATTTTTTTCCATGGCTTTAGGTGACACAACGGTAATTTCACCCGCAAAGCTGTCATATTCCAAAGCCGATGGAATAGTCACTGGGCACCACCTGTAAGGAGTGCTACTTCCCTCTGAATTCATGTCTTGTTGTCTGGGTATCTCTTAAGAACACTTTCCGACATTTGTGTTTAGTTATTGTTTTTCTCTGTACATCCTTCCCTCCCCATACCCTCATATGTATAAATCGTGCTTTCTAGTTGCATTGAAACATGAATCTCTCCTCTTTCCTTCTACTCCTGAATTTCCAGCCTTTGATAAAATTTCTCCTTCTTGAGAACAGGTTCTTGATGTTTTCACATTCAACAATCCATACAACTAGACATAATTTTTTAAGCTTAAGTCTTTGTCACCTAAATGAGTACATAGTTCCTTTCTAGTCTAGGACACTTCAGTCCCATTCTGTCACAAGAGACATGCACAGTGAACTGATGTACCTTTGTAACTCACTTTCTGATAGTATATGTGATCAGGGCTGTCTGGATTATCTATTGTTCTGACAAAACCTGTAAGCAGGGCTCTCTTCCTTCTGGAGAGTAAATACCTTACCTTGTCTTGTTTATCTCTTCTTTAACAATGATCATTCTTTCTAGAGGAATTGTAGCAAGGCATGTATAGCCAATGGAGCTGCCAGAGGGTTGCTTTTAAATAAAAAAGGAAGACTTTTTTTTCCAGTCCTCCTGAGTGGGGCCATAGGAACTCAGAATCTATACTCTTTGTGGTCAGCAGGGTGGCATAAATTGTACTATCTAGGAATTCTATCAAGATCAAGAGTTAATAGATATGTCAGTGGGAACAAGGCATAGCAGTTTTAAGTTCTAGTATTATCCACTGATAGCCAATACAAAAAAAATATTGAGCTATATCTGAAACACTTGCAAATGTATAAAATGTACTCCAGCCAGTTTCTGGTTTTTCCTATTGCATTTACTAACAAAAGTTAAAGACACACAGTATATACACAGTTGAATAACTAGGCAACCAAATTCCTAGCGTAAGTCAAGAGGCCTTCTGAGTGCTCTCATTAGTAGCATTGTATGCAGTGGTTTAATACATAGTGGGTAGACTCCAGTCACTAGAAATAGGAGTGGAAGGTATTAAATAAAATATTCATGCTCTATCCAGGGAAGTTAATTGTCAGGAAAATGAGTGTGCCTGCCCTAGAGGGAAATAGATATTATACAGGGCCAGCATTGTGTCGGGACCAAAGGTTCTGGCCTGTGACAACTCCCATTGAGTAGCTATATATATATATATAGCTTTGTAAACCAGTGATGCACGATTGCCTTGGATTGGGTCTCTGACCTGGATCTCAGTTGGTATGAGGAACACTGTAGATGCAAAGTTAGAAGCTCATGTGGAACATTTGGTTGCCTGGTTATTGAACTTTGTATATACTGTACCTCTTAATCTTTTGGTAGTACATGCAGTAGGAAAATCCAGAAACTGGCTAGAGTACATTTTACAAATTTACAAGAGTACTTCAGATATAGCACAATATTTTCTTTTTTTATATATTTTGAACAAATATCAAATCTGTCTATCTATCTATCTATCTATCTATCTATCTATCTATCTATCTCTACCTGTGTACCTATCATCTAATAAGAATTCAAGGGAGAGGGCTGGCAAGATAACTCAGCAGACTAAGTGCCTGCTTATGCAAGTGCAGGGACCAGGGTTTGATCCCTGGTACCACATGCCATGTAGGCCCTACCCCTAGGTGCACTGAGCCACCCCTGAGACCAGGCGTGGTAGCGCAGGCCTGTAATGCCAGCACTGGAGAGGCTGAAAACAGGAGGTTTACTATGAGTCCAAGTTGTGTAGTGAGACCCTGTACCTAACACATTAAAAAAAAATCAAGGAAAAGACATTTGCACCTGTCTTCTCCATCATGTTACACAGAGGAACACTTGAATTTTGGTACTTCAGGTGGCCTGCATATGGACACAAGGAGCTTTTAAATCAGCAACATTCTGGGACACAGGCATTTACGTTGGTACAGGGCCACTGCATCAACCACGAGGTTGGCTACTAGCTCATGAGATCTGTCTACAGTTCTTTAGTCACAAGGGTTAGTACTATCCCTAAACACAAGTGTATTTTGAAATCTATGGAACAGTGTTGGTTATCACAGTCACTGGGAAATACCAGGTGACATTTAGTGAATAGTGACCAGGTATGTCCATGACTCTGGTTGCAGGGCATTCATCACACAGATTCTATTGATACAATTGTGACTGTAATGGAAAACATTTCACTTATGGTTTACAGAATTTATTAGGTTGATCTTAAGAGATTCTTAGCAGATGGAATGGTTATAACTTTATATTAGTAAGATGAACTGTGAGGTTGGTGAGGACAGTGCCCATATCTCACATCACTAGGGGTTGTACAGAACAACTAAGGCTTGCCCTAGGATAAGAAAATTTCTGAGTTTAAGTTTGGGGCTTTAATTCAGTCCAGGATTTAATTTTGGTAGCATGCAATGGGCTTGGATAAGTAACCTTGCTCTGTCACTCAGGTGTGCACATCCTTGATTCATATGAAGGTAAGTGAGGGCAGGAGCAATAAGGCAAGGGTTGAACAGAACACTCACAGGAGAAGACAGACCCCACAGCTAGGAGAATGGCAGGACATTTTTGTTACATAGATATGAACTATTAGAGCATAATTATTGAGGTTTATAAGATATAGTTGGCTTCATTTCCCACTTGTATCTTACTACTGATGCAATTGTGATTCAGACACAGGTATTCTAATCCCCACTCCCATGCCATTGTTTCTGACCTTGCCTGTAATGAAAAGTTCTTCTAGTTCTATTTCCTAAGGAGAGACTTCCTAGTATTTGCAGTGGTGCATCACCTAGCTCTCTGAAAGACAGATTTATGAATGTGGGTCCATTTTTATTTTCTTCTTTGTGTCATTGGTTTGCCTTCTATCTAGACTCATGGGTGTCTGTTGTACATAAGAATTCCCTTAGGTCAAGTCCTCTTTCTGCTGCTCCTTCTACCCCGAGCCCTAGTCCTATCGAGCTTCTTGACTGTTTTAATGGAGTGATTCACATAGAGGAAGGAGTCTGTTTAAAGAGACCCACAACTACCGTGATGTCCTCTGATGCCACATGGATTATAGGGACATTTGTGAATTTGTGATGCCGCTTGGTGGTGTTAACCTACAATTAAGCTGAGTATTTATTATCTTTTGTGAATTATTACATAAAGTTATTACCTAAGCACTCTAGGGACTAAGAAAATTGATCAGAAAAATATAAAATAAGGCTCTTGTTCTCTGAAATCTTATGGCAGAAATGTAGGCTGAGATCTTGGATCTCCATTTTGTGGTATGATAAGTGCATTACTTTTACCATTTGATGGAACATGAAGACAGAGGGAGGTTGAAACTTTGTCCTTAGGTCCTCCCACTTCATATGACACATGGATGAACTTTTCATGTGATTCTAAAACCTGTGGAAAACAGAGAAACAAGCACTCTATTCTAATGTTATAAGAGGAAATTGTATCCCTTCCTCTCATTCCTAGTGCTGTTTCATTCTTACCTGGTACAGTGCATCTCATGCCTACTCTTTCTTCTTTTCATCTTTATGCCTCCTGCCTTGTCTTTGAGAAGAGCTTAGGAAAAATCAGGACAGAAGCTAGAGGCTGAGCATCTGAAGCATCAGATTATGAGTTCAGCTTGTTGTTGCCATTCATTGATATATAGAGCGACACAGTCTGTGGGCATTTTCCGAGCTCGAGGGTCTATGATTTGTGCTTATTCCTCTTCACTGCACTCAAGAACACTAGGCTGGCTCTGATTAAGCCTATCACTATCTACCAAAGGTAGTAAAGTCTTTGCATGAGTTAAGTTCTAAGTAAATATCTGTTTGCTGTCTGATCCATTCTTTTGGCACAAATGGGTTATATTCTGTTCTTATAGCAATACCGAGCGTACGTGGCCTTCCCCGACTTTTTCCGTACCTCAACTGTCCTGTGGTGGAAGAGGGAAATTCAAGAGCTCTACAACAACACAGAGAGTCCAGAGAAGAGCTTGAAGTTTGACGGCATGTGGATTGTGAGTGTGAGCGTGCGCGCATGTGTGTGTAGGTGTGTGTTTACCTTTTGTCTTAGCTTGTGGATCACTGTCCTTTAAAGGATAATTGTGATCTAATGAAGACTTTGGAATACACTCACCTAATTTATCATGAAACATCCTTGGCCTTAGTAGGAAATCCTTATAACTTTGCTTGCCCTGAGACAAAGGTTAAAGTAATTTAATCCTCTTGCCAGTCACCTGGTACAGGTTAAAATGACTTTCGAGGAGTTCCCTCTAGGATATGAGGAGCTCCTCTGAGCAAGTGCCTATAGAAACAGTTACATATTAAATGATTTATTTACTACTTAGTCTTGTCTCAGAATGGTAAAACATAGTTATTTTTAAATGTAAGTTGTGCCTGTGTTTGACATTTGTAGGATATGAATGAACCTTCGAGTTTTGTGAACGGAGCTGTCCCTTCAGGCTGCACAGATGCAACTCTAAACCGTCCTCCCTACATGCCATGTAAGGACCCTGGTCCTGCCTGGGCTGTGGATCCCTGGCTAGAAGTAGGGCAACCTCCAGGAGTGCCCAGCATCTAGGGCATGAGCCTGACTGCTGGCAGCATGCCCAGACTGGTGCTGTGGCTTATATGGGTCCAGAGACAAAACCACTTTCAGCATCTTACCTGTGGATGAGTGCAAGATACTACATTTGTTGTGAATTGCTCCAGTTTCAATAGAAAAAGTTATACATGGTGATAGCTTCAAAGGAATCCTTCAAAGGTTCCTGAAACTATATTTCATAGTCCTTCTGGCTTATGTCAATTTACCTATATGAATTTCTTATGCCACTAAAGACTGTAAAAGAGAAGGTTTTTTTGTATCTTGCAGTCCACAAACCTTAATGTTAAACTTGTGTTTATATCTCGGATCTACAAATCACCTTTTTTCTGAGTTATGTGACCTATGATAGTTTTCACAATACTTTCAAATCTTAGTTTTCCAAAATGTTAAGAAGCAGATAACCCCATCATGTTTATGGAATTATAAAGTTATATGCAGGCCGGCCAGATAGCTCAGTGGACTAAAGTGCCTGTTTAGGCAGATACAATGACTGGGGTTGGATCTCCATGCTGGCCCCACCCCCAGTACACACTGAGATGGTGACTGAGATGGCTTGGTGGTGTGCACCTATAATCCCCACAATTAGGAGGCTGAAAAACAGGAGGATCACTATGAGTCCAATCTGTGTAGTGAGACCCTATAGTCCCTGTACTAAATACATAAAAATGTTTATATGAAATAATTTACAAATTAATAGCCTACCTCAGAGCCTATATCCACAGTAAGGGTGTGAAAATCCTGTGTCCTAACCTCACCTCTAATTCTTCTTTCTCCACTAGAGTTGATGTTGAAAACCATGATGCAGCCACCACTGCAGCTCAGAGCTAAACACGATTTGCCTCTGGGAAGTGGGGGAATGATCCAGGGAATTAGTTTTAAGATCCACATTTCTGACCCATAAAGACCAGTCAGGAACTAAAAGCAACAAGGCTGTTTCTCACATTCCTGAGTTTCTTCCCCTCAGATCTGGAGGCCAGGGACAGGGGCCTGAGCAGCAAGACCCTGTGCATGGAGAGTGAGCAGATCCTCCCAGACGGCTCCAGAGTGCGTCACTACGACGTGCACAGCCTGTACGGGTGGTCCCAGACCCGGCCCACCTACGAGTGAGTCACTCTCTGCCTTCTCTAGTTGACACAGTCTACGTGGATATGTAGTAAGAGGCATGGGGTTCTCACTTTGTTTTTATGTATTAGTCTAAGCATTAAGAATAATTTATTCAGAATTACACACAATTTTGACTTGGTAAAGATATACTCCTTGAGCCTGGAGCCAGACCCCATGGTTATAATCAGAAGGACATGCTTAACCGAGGAGTAATCCCCTCAGTGAGATCCATACGCTAACATAAGCTAATATGTCCATAGGGTACTTTTTTTTATTCCAAAAGTGAATCATCTCTGTTAGATTTCGCATTCCCATTCCTGCTGGATGTCATTGATTTTGCTGTTGAAGTAGCAACATCTGTGTTGTGAGTTCAAAGAGTAAAAAATATTCTAAGGAAAATTTTAAGAAGTAATTTGTAGTGTTCAGCAGCAAATATAAGAAAACAAATGATGAATAACAAAATCCTTGCTTATTATTTTAAGACAATTCAGGGTTTTCTACATGATGAATTTCTTTGTAAAACACTTATCAAAGACACCAGTGCTCTTATTGTCTGTATCAGCGAGTGGGCCGTCACTGTGACTGGGCATCTATATTCCCACAGTCATGCAGCCAACACCATCCCAACTTCTAGTTCTATGACCTTTATTATTCTTCTCTGGCCTCATTTCATCTCCCTGTTCTTCTGCAACCAGAGCAGTGCAGGAGGTGACAGGCCAGAGAGGAATTGTCATCACTCGCTCCACATTCCCCTCTTCTGGACGCTGGGCAGGACACTGGCTGGGGGACAACACAGCTGCATGGGACCAGCTGAAGAAGTCAATCATTGGTACAGGGGCCTGTTCCCAGGGCTGGATGACAGGGAGGGAGGTGTGGTCCTTGGCGAGGAGGAGGAGGAGCAGGCAGAGCTGAGGCCTCCCTGACCCAGATGTGGTTCTCATTGCAGGCATGATGGAGTTCAGCCTCTTTGGCATATCCTATGTAAGTGGCCTCAGACCCCTCCTGCCTGCTCACAAGGTGATGGAGTCTTTCCGAAGTCACCAGTGGCCTGGTTTATTCCCTCTTATTTCAGACCGGGGCAGACATCTGTGGGTTCTTTCAAGATGCTGAGTATGAGATGTGTGCTCGCTGGATGCAGCTGGGGGCCTTTTATCCCTTCTCCAGGAACCACAACACCATTGGCACAAGGGTAGGACAGCGATCCCCCCCTCATATGGTGGATGTTACTTAAAATGCAGCCTCTGTCTTTGCGTAGCACTTAATTCTCTCTGTATTGTCTGGACATCTTTGGAATTATGAAACCTTCATTCTCATCATATTCCTCAACTGTATTTAGATAATTCTTTTTTTAAAATAGGAATTATTCCAAATATATCCTAAGAAGAATGTCTTATGGGGAAATTATGTTATTTTCTGTTAAATTTCAGTAACTCCTTTCAGTCTCCCCGGCTTATTAGATCAGCTGTGAACACTTGTTTTCCTCCTTAGAGACAAGACCCTGTGTCCTGGGATGCTGCCTTCGTGAATATTTCCAAAAGTGTGCTGGAGACCAGATACACGCTGCTGCCCTACTTCTATACCTTGATGCACAGGGCCCACACGGAGGGCGTCACTGTTGTGAGGCCTCTTCTCCATGAGTGAGTGTCCAGGGGGACCCTGCTCACCAATGCATGAGTCCTTCCATTGTGTAAGAGAGTAGTGAGTGCAGACACTTTCTCCAAACTAAAGATATGACTTTGTTTTTTCTGAAGCTCTTTCTAGGCAGAAACCATAGCTCACTACTTTTCTACTCTTGTACAGTGTTATGCATATTTTAGTTCACTGATGAAAATCTATTTATTGAATAAAAAGTTCTTTTGAAGATGTAGCACAGACAGCATCACTTTTTCACATTTGGCTATGTGACATTTTTCCTATCATTTATAAGAGTTTTAACAATGTAGACTCAAGTATGAGTTCTGGTTCCAGAAAATGTATTACAAGTGAGGTTTTGGTAGTGAGTGTCACTATTGCATTGAAAATGTTCCATGCTTTGTGGAGGTATTTTATAGCAGAGAATGTGTCTAAGTCAGCTTTGAATTTCGAGGGACCTGACCCACAGAGATGGTGGGCTGGACAGTCCTGGGGAAGCATGGGAAGGAGCGTGCCAGAAGGTGCAACCGGATGTCTGACTGCATCTGAGTGTGGAGGGTGTCCTTAGGTGACTGGGCTGGTTCCTGCTCTGGCTCTGATTGTGCCACCTTTTTCCCTTCTAGGTTTGTGTCAGACCGGGTGACCTGGGATGTGGACAGTCAGTTCCTGTTGGGCCCGGCCTTGCTGGTCAGCCCTGTCCTGGAGCTTGTGAGTGTGGACGCCTGACTTAGATATTTTCCACTTTGCTGAGACACAGTGCCAGTGCCCACAATTTAAAGGCAGAAAGGTTTTACTTTGACTCATAATTGCAGAGGTCTCAATCTGTGCATGATCATGGTTTAGCTGGCTCCCAGGCACACAGGGCCTGACATGGTAGAGCTGCTCTGATCATCCAGCCAGGAAGTGGGGAGTGAGGGGCAGAGTCAGGAAAGGAAATGCACCCTTGTTGGTCACACCACCAGTGACTCACCTTTTGAAACTGGCACATTTAGCTAAGATTCATCAATGGATGAACCCACTGGGGACTACAGCTGTGGTCGAGGCACCTCCCAAAAATCCACATGGGAATGAGTGAACCCTTTGGCAGAAGCTCTAGGCCTAAACTATCACAAGGCCTCTGCTGGGTGGAGGGTACCAATTGTGAGGTTGGGTGAGTAGCATGAGACAAGAGAGCAAGCCTCTACGTGGGGTGTATCCCAAGAGACCATTTCTTGTTCTGCCTTTGTCTTTTCTTCTTGTTCTGAGCAGCAGTCCATTGGTAAGGTATTCTGGCCTCCTCCATATTAAGGGGCAGCCTAATAGTTAGGGTCCAAAGCACCATCAAAAACAAAACAACTTTATCATACATTTGAGAACATACCGTTCTTCTATTAAGATAAGGAATACAGGCATGTGGTGTAAGCAGTTGATTACAATCCTGTAGCTCTTAGCACAGAACCTTCCAGGAGAGCTGCATGCACAGCCCATGCTATCCTGTTGCTGCTGGCAAGCCCTACCTCCCTTCTGTAAGGTGTTCCAACATCGATGGCCATTTCTTTGCTTCCTTGGGAATGCCTAGGCATGTGATAGTGCCAGTTCATGATACTCCCTCCAGATATTACTATGTCTACACAACCTTCCTCTGCTCCAAACCCAAGTACAAGTGTGCCTCTTCAGAGGTGGAAGGGGTTTAGTTCATAAGCATTGGTGATTCTTATTTTTACACTTTATACCCTGGGTTGTTCTGGATAGGGAAACTTTCTGTGTGAAAAAGGGGAAGGAAAGGAAGGCTTTCTAGGCTTTGCAAATCTTCAGAGAGCTGGGGCAAGTGAGTACAAGCTCACCAGAGTTGTTTTAACCCCTTTTTATGTGAGCCTGTGATGGTATCCCAGAACACCATGCCTATTGCCTCTCACCTTGTTTATGGTTAATTTCAGAATGCCAGAAATGTCAATGCGTATTTCCCTGAAGCCCGCTGGTATGATTACTACACAGTAAGTTATCTAGATATTTCTATAATCTGGGAAAATGGTAAAGAATAAACTCTGGATATTACAGTCCTCAGGCAAATGCTGGTTCTGGAAGCTACCTGCTGTGGGGTCTTGAATAACCACTTTAAACCTTGTAGGCTCCGTTTTCTCATCTGCAAGTTAAATCAGATCACCCCTGCACTAAAGTGGTGTGAGATAAGCAGAAAGCTTCACTCAGAGCCTGGCTTTGTGTGGACAAACTTTTGAGTTTACATCATTCCTTATACTATCACTATTCACAATGGTGTTTTAAGCAGACACTTGTGAACTTTTGAAATCATTCTATAAACAATCATATTTGCTTATATCTTCTCTCCTTTAAGTTCCTAAATACAGGGGCCTTTTTATTAAATGTTGAATTCCGTAGCATAGATGCTCAAAGAGTTGTTCCATATGGTGACAGTGCATTGTGAAAATGCACTAGAGGTGTGGGTCTCACATTTGCAAATCTAAGCATTGCACATGCATTTACATGTGACAAAGCCACAGATGCCTGCAGCAGCCAGGAGGGGAACCCATGCCTGCAGCCTGCCGCTGTCATCCAAGGGGACTGCAGTGTGATTTGGTGAAAACTGGGCGAGCATGCAGAAGTGGAGTTGCTTCTCTTCTCTGTCCTGTGGAGTCCTGAATCCCTCCAGTCTGACTTTATTGCTGGGCTTTATCAGTTGTTTTTGTTTTTTTTATTAAAGAAAAAAAACCCAAAAGCAAATAACAACAAAAGCAAACAAAAAACAAAGCAACATAAAATGATAAAAATGGTACAGAATTTCAAAACAAGAATAGAAAATTAACTTTGTTGTTATATTATGTATTATTATCGTCAAATTTGTTGCTCAGATTACCAGATATAGGTATGCCAAATTGAAACTTTGTTTTTTGCCAGAAGGTCTCCCTGTGCACTGTAGGCTGGCCACAAACTCAAGGTGGTCATTCTTTCTCAGCCTCCTGAATGTTGGGATTATGGGTATTCACCACCATGCCCAATGTACACCTGTGTTTAAGATTACACTATGCTGGGATTTTCTGTGGGCTTTCCTGATAATGTTTTCTGGGGAAAAATCAGCCAACATCTCTCCGAGCCTTTCTATGGTTATTCTGCATCTTGATTCTCTTGTTCATTAAGAGTCACTCCTTTTGAGTTTGAGGTTCTTTTGTGCAGGGATTAACTAGGATTGAGCTCATGAATTATCTAGCACACATAGTTGAAGGAGATGCTCCGTCACAGGCTGGTCTGCATTTGCAAGACCTCAAGAGTGAGGACTATTTATTTTAAAACCTCAGCATCTTGTTAAGGCTCATTCCAGCTTCAGTTTGCCCAGGCGCAAACTATTTTCTGGAGTTCCAAACACTGGCAATGGAAACATTTCCTTATGGGCTTCACCGTGCAGTGCAGAGCTGATATTTGCTTGTCACAAATGCCAATTAGATAGGTAAATAATTGTATATGCCATGTGAAATAATCTGAAGTATTAAGTTGATAAAGAAAAGCTTCCTGGAATGGCCAGTGTCACATGGATTTTTAAGTAGAAGGTGGTTTTAGTTAAAGAAGGACAGGCAAAAGAAATCATGTGGAAGGACAAATGTTCATGAGAAAGCCACCTGGAGAAAATAATGTTTTGCTGTTTAATTAAAAAGAAGACTACATGGTTAGAATTAATTAAGAATTGTCTCCTGCATTAATCCTTAAAAGTAATTGGGACTGAGTGTTTGTGCTCAAGTAGAGACTAGTAAACAATGACTCACAGACCAGTAGAGCTGTCATGTGTTTTTGTAAATAAAGTTTTATTGGAACACACCCACACATTCATTTACTTGTTGTGATAATAACTGCTCCTTACCTCTAAAATAAGCTCTAATTTTTGATAGTTATGATGTGGTAGAGGAGGGGCTGCTAGTGGCATTTATTAGGTAGACACCAAAGATGTTGCCAAACATCAAACAAGCACAAGATGGACACACAGCAAGACTCACGTAGCTCCAAACATCAATAGTTCCAACAATGACAAACTGAGCTACAGGTGATAATATGTGTAAGAATTCTCCCTTAGAATTTGAGGTTTATGCCTGAGATGACAGAACATCTCACACACTACATGAGACAAAGAGTGTCAAGGATGAAGCAAGATAAGTATGTCAAGCATAAAGCCACATACATCACTTAAAGCCATGTAAAGTAAGCAAGCACATTTTTATGTTTTCTGTGAATTATAAGTCCAAAGTGTTAAGTTGGGGAAAGTAAGGAGAGATGGAGATTTAGCAAACCTTGGAAAGAGAGATGGTCTAGGAATGCCATCATGGAGAGCTCAGCAGGTGCCAACAAGTGTGAATGAGAGATTGTACAAGGTGCTCTAGCAGGGCCTGCAACGCAGAAGCAGGCTGCGTGAGTGACAGTAGACTGCGGTCCATCCTGATGCAGTCTGTGCTGTAGAACTCCCCAGGAGGCAAGGTGCCCCACAGTACATTACAGAAACAAAGCCAGGCGTCACACAGCAGTGAGGCGGATGCAGAAAGTGTCCTCATGTTTGTGTTCTGAGTGGTGAAGAGTGGGCAGCAAGCTCAGAGAGGTGGCTGAGTGTCTGCTGTAGGTGCTGATGGTGGGTAGTATGTCCTGTCCTCATCCTCTGCTTTTTTTCTGCCCACAGGGTGCAGACATTAATGTGAGGGGACAGTGGAAAGAGCTGCCAGCCCCTCTGGAGCACATTAACCTTCACGTGCGTGGGGGCTACATCCTTCCCTGGCAAGAGCCTGCGCAGAACACTCACCTAAGGTGAATGGTGGGCCGGGGCTCTGCTTTATGTAGTGATTAACACAGTAATTTGTACTGAAGGCCATCAAAGCTTCAAGCATTACTCTCGTGGCAAAAGGCAACTTTTGTACTTATTCACTTTATTTTAATAGTTTGCAAACTTTGCATTCTTTGAGCAGTTAACAAGTGTTTTATATCTAAGTGGATGGGATGATAGGTCTAAGAAGTGACACTTGAAATAGAGGCCAAGTAGGAATAATTACAATTTGTGCTAGTTTTATAAGACTGCATCTTATTTGACTCTTTCCTAAGAAAGCAATTGCTGAAAAGTTATTTAAGCCATATAACAATTGATACTGATGCTGAGATTTGTTTTGTAAAGTATTTTAAAATACTTAACCTAGGTCTATATAATAATTGGCAATATTTAATGTTAGGTGACTGCTTTCTCCATGTCCAGAACTATGCCAAAATGAGATCTATTTGGAGATATTCTGGGTTTTTTTTTTCCATTTTTTTTTTTTTTTTTTTTTGTACAGGGTCTCACCACACAGATTGGACTCACAGTGATCCTCCTGTTTTCAGCCTCGCCAGGGCTGGGATTACAGGCATGTGCTACCATGCCCAGACTCATTCACCAGCTTAGCACATCCCGGGGGCAGGGCTGGAGCAGCATGTGGAACTGGGGATCAAACTCTGGTCCCTGAGCTTTCCAAAGCAGGC